TCGGAGGGACCCCAGGTTCGAGTCCTGACCCCTACCAGTCAGGTGAATCACATCACCTGCTGGAACTCAGTTTCCTTTTGTGTGAAATCGGGTACGGAATGTCCACTTCAAAGGGTTGCCATACAAAATAAAATTGAGATAGGACGTATGAACTGCCCCAGACATTGTTCGTGAAACTGTTTCTTGATCTTTGCTTGAGAACTTCCTTTTATACCAGCAAGAAGCCACCATGACCTGGATCCTGTGTGCTCCTAATTTCAATACCATCTTACAAAGGATACAGCAGTTAAGAAAGTTCTGGACTCATTCTAAACCCATGAACCCACCCGAGGTCTATGGTCCTGTCGTCAATGATTACAGTTGGAATGGCTCTGTCAGTTGAAGATTGATGACTTCGATCCTTGGACTAGATCTTCTCTGCGGGCTTGTACTCGACAGATGGACGCAACAGCGGAGGGGGTGAGTCGAAGGCAAGCAAAGCATCATGATGTCCCCCTCCAGAGGGACGCTCTGACTTTACCCGGCCCGTAAGAGCCAGAGCCAGCCTGTCCTCCATTTTTTGTGTAGAGCCAGGCCTCAAAGGTATCTTAATTTTATTTACTCTTCTCAAACCTGAAATTCCTGCCCTGAGCAAGTGCCAGAACAGAATGTCCCCTGGTCTTCGGTGGTGGAAAGTCTTGCCCAAGTCCAGCCTACAACCTTCAGAACAGGGGCCCCTGGACTGTGAGCACAGTGGATGAAGCTGTCGGGATTTTAGGAAAGCAGATAAGCTTTGAGCACAGCTGGGCTGCAGCTTCCCTGCCCGCCTGCGCGCCCCCCCCCCCCCCCCCGCCCCCCGGCCTTCAGCCATGGCAGCCTGCTCCTGATTTCTCTGGAAAGGCAGCTTCTAATTAGAATGGATCGAAGAGTCTCTGCTCCAGCTTTGTTCTCAGTCTCGATTGAATTGTTGCTTTAGGACTTAATCTGGTGTAGTCACCGGTGGGCTGGGACCCTTGGGTCTCTGAGCTCCTCTCAGGCTTGAGCAGGCTGGCACTGGAGCGGGGGCCGGGGGGGGGAGGGGTGCAGGGAGAGACGGGGGGTGGGGTGCCCTGCTGGCACCCGGGGGGCACCAAGACCTTGCATCACCCCTCTCTCTGCACCCTCTCCCTCCAGCTCCTCTTCTATTTTTCACCTGCTTTCTCTCCCTTTAATTTCCTTTCATTAACAACCCAAAGCTGTCCAGGAGGACAGTCCCTGCTGGTGGGAGTGCAAATTGGTACAATTGCTCTGGAGGGCAATTTGTCAAATGCTATTAAAAGCCTTAAAAAAGTGCATAGGCTTTGACCTGGAAAGTCCCCTTCTAGGAATTTGTCCTAGAATATAATAATTGGACAGGGGTCCACAAATATGTTGCCCTCAATGCTTTTCGTGAGTGACAACTTGGAAACCTGGAGCCCATCAACAGGGGGTCATTAAAAATGACCATGTGATAAACCAACTAGAAAGGAACACTTTGGAGCTAATTGGAGAAATTTGAATCTTGACTAGGTATTAGCTGCTCCTAAGGAATGGCTGTTAATTTTATCAGGTGTGATAATGGCCTCGTGATTGGTTTAGAGACACATGACAGGAGGGCTGATATTGGGTTTAAACTGTTAGAACAACAGGAACGGGAAGAAACAATGCTGGCAAAATCTTGCAAGTTCTGAATCCGGCTGACAGGTTATTTGAGTATCCATTTTGGTGTATCTGTCCTAAAGTTGTGCATGTTTTCAAATGTTCATGATTTAAAAAGAAATAAAATGATTGTGTAAAACCGTATTTTTTTGATGTCCACAAGATACTAAGTTAGAAGAGAAAAATCCCAAATAGCAAATATGGCATTACCAGATTTTCTGGTTTAAAAAATATACATGGAATTTTACATGCAAAAGAAAAAGGATGGAAGTACACACACCAGAATGTTCGTGGCGGCCATTTCCGGGTGGCAGAATATGAATAGTTTCCACTTTCTTCTTTATATTTTTCGGTTGTTTCTGACTTTTGTTTTTGCAATAAGCATACATGCCTTTTAACGCTTCTAAAAAAGCCAGAGTTAACTAAAGAAAATTTGGAAATCTCCTACTATGCATTGAGCGTTACTATATGCCATGTCTTGCAAAAGGAGGTTTGATATATCTTAATTCAGAATGCGGTCATTGGTGAGGTTGACGCTGTTATGCCCATTTGCTAAGTGGGGAAGCTGGCCATCAGAGAGGGTGAGCGCTTTACCTACAGACACACAGCCTCAGCTCTAGTTCCACTCTTCCAATGTGACGTCAATGCTCTTGTCACACTATATATCCGCTTTTTCCAGAGAACCTGCAAGGAGTTATCAGGCGTGGGCCCTGCCCTCCAGGAACCAACCCCCTCTGGTCCCCCTGGTCTCCCGCCCCCACGCTCTGCCCCAAGAACCAGTTACATAATGGCTTTGCCAAGAACGTGTGCTCCCCCCTCCCGTCACAGGTGAAACTTGAACACTGCCCCTTTGATATTTTCTCCCAATGAGCCTTCCCAGGCTTCTTGTCTTTTTAGGATGGAAACAAGCGCTCTGCTGTTATCCTCTTCATATTTATCAGCTCGGTTTACTGGCAGAGTGGAAGAGTGAACGGGCATTGTATACATAAATATCATAAAATCCACAGAGGGCTGGTGAGCCCGAGTTCTTAATCCGGGCTCTGTCACTAACAATTTGCAACTCAAAGAAGTCACTCTCTCTCTGTTTTCTCTGTCTCTAAAGTAAATAAAGGATAACCCATTAGAAAAAAAATCAATTGGTGCTCTGAAGAAAGGAGGGGGTTTAGACAACACTCTAAGTTGGGCTGAAAATATGTTTCCCAAGTTTTTGCTAATGTTGGAAATGGACAAAGCCCTGTCTCCACCTCACCCCATCAGTTCTCAGCCAGATTACTGTGATGTCTCTTACCTGATCTCCAAGCTCCATGTTCTTGTTTGTCCTTCTCCCCAGCTGTCACCTGCTGGGCGCCCCTCACTCCTTGCCTTACCCTGCATGCACAGTTTCTAAGAGGGGCCCCAGCCATGCGCCTCAGGGCCTTTGCTTATGCTCTTCCCTTTGTCTGGAATGCTCTTCCCCAGCTACCATCAGGTATTTCCCTGTAAGGTCCCTGGAAACCCTCCCTGCCCAGCAGACCTGAGCTCCTCGAGGGCACACCCTCAGTTATCTCCAGGATACAGCCGGCCCTGCGCGGACACGGATGGGAACGGGGCGGGCAAGGGCAAAACCGAAGGCTTCTCTCTACGTCTCCAGGATGGGCAAAACCTGTCCCACAGATTTAGGTTAGAAGAGTACTGTTTCCATCCTGGGCTCCCTTGAATCTGCGTTTACTGCCACCCCAGTTTGAGACAAGACGTTTTTCCAATATTCTCTTTTAAAAACACAACATTTAAGCACCCAAATGAATGCATTTTTATATAGACACTGACTGCAGGAGGTTACCTCTTGCCCCTGAGCCCTTGCAGAAGATGGTCTAACCAAAGCACCTGTCTCAGCCTGGAAAACTGCGGGGCTGCCTCTTAGGGCAGAAGCGTCATGGCGATCCAATGCGTCCGGGGACCACCTGCCTGGGGGCTGCCTCCCACATAGAAACGAGGAACCCTTCCGTGGTGGGACCCCTGCAAAGGACTCAGCAGGGAAACTACCTGAGGGTCATGGTCACATCACGTTTATGTTTCTGGACACTAGCTCCAAAACTCTACCCGCCCGTGAGTCCCTGCCCTCCCACTAGCCTGCGCATCCCTGCCCTCTCGGTGGGTGAATCCCAGCCATGTCAGCAAGCAGTGGGGACAGTCAGCTTCATACAACCAGGGAGCAGACGCTGGGGCCAGGCCCCGGCCTCAAGCCACTCCTCAGAGAAGGAAGGCAGCCATGGAGGGCAGTGAGAACCTTCCCCTACAATCCTAAAGGAGATGGGGGAGCACCTGGCTCCTATGCAGGTGGGAGACCCTGGCTGGGGTGCTTTTTGGGTTTCACTGGGGTTTAGAAGTCAAGTGTTGCTCAGCTTTCTCCTCTCTGGATTGTAGGTGATTCTAAGACAGGATCCCATTCAGCGTGGCATTCCCTCCCCACCCGCTCCCCCCGCCCTGCTGCCCCGAGTCCATACACATGGGCTGTGCTCATCTTGAGTCCCAGTGCTGTGTGCCAGGGACAGAAAGTGGGACATGGGCCACCACTGTCACGTTTCGTCTCTGAGGGGCCAATGAATGAACTAGAGGGTGCCAATCACTCTGCTCTCTCTCAAACCTTGCTGAAACCTCGGGAAGGTTTCTCCTGACCCCCTAATTCATATTGCCACTCCCCCTTCCCCAGCACCCCCTCTGCGCTCTCCTGCTCTATCACCATATGTCAGATGGTTACTTTCCCCGCTTAACTGGACCTCTCTCTCTCACTCTGCTAGACGGAGGGGAGGGATTTTTGTTTTACTCAGTGACAAATCCCCATTCCCAGAACAGGGACCGACACATAGTAGGTGTTCAGCAAATGTCGGATGAATACATCTGCAGACTTGGTGTTCGTTTCATAAATGTCTGCTCACTGAGAATGCGGTCTCCAGGCAAGTGAAGACGTTAATAACCACTTACTAGATTCCCCAAATAGTGTGGGGCACTGAGTCCATAAAAGGTACACTGTTTTCCATTGGCTCCCTGTTGTCTTTGCAGTAATCCAAATTCCTTCCAGAAATGGTCTCTGCTTCACTTCCTTCTGCTCTTCCCAGCACACACCAGACTCCACCTCCTGGACACTCTGAGCTCGTTCACACCTCAGGGCCTTTGCATTTGCTGTCCTTGCTGCCTGATGGCTCATCCCTCAGGGGGTCACATGGCTGTGGGGCCCTAGCTTAAATGTCACTTTTCCTTAGAGTCCTTCCTGCCCACCCAACCCAGTTACCCCAGCACCCATCACAGCTCCACTTTATTATCTGCATAGCTCTTAGCAGGGTCTGAAATGATCTCAATCATTTATTTGATCATAGTACGTTTATTGGAGAATCTCAACCACCTTACTTTCCCTAATTGCTTTATTCTGTCCCGCTCCGTTGACCCCCACTTCCCCCTGGGTCTTCATGACAGCGAGATCCCACACAGTGCAGGTGCTCTCGCTCATTAGAACTCAGACCAGGCCAGTTCAAAACCCCATCCTGGCTCAGAGCTCCTCTACAGAAGGGGCAGGAATGGGAAGCAAGGGCTTTGTCTTCTCCTCTCTCTGGGGTGCCTCGGAGCAGAGGGGTCAGAGGTGAGCTACTTCCGTTTCCCTCGCACGCCTCTCTGGGTCTGCTTCTATCTGCCGCTGTCTCTGTGGAGATGGGTGTCTGGTCGTTTTGGGGCAGAGACTCCTTCGTGGCGGGCACCTCCTCAGGAGGTGGCAGGCATACCCCCCCACTTCAGCACTGCCAGCAGAATAGGCCCCAACCTTTTCCAGGTGGGAAGCAGCTCCCTTTGCCCACGATCCGTCTGGGGGGCCCACTGACTCTGCTCTATGTGAATCCTTATATGAGCCCTCTGGGGGTCTTGCACAACAGAGTTGGGGGCACCTGCTCTTCCTGCCGGTGACACAGGCTTCTCCCCACCAGGTCCCCCTGGAGCAGGCACAACTCCGGGGCATGCGTGCCGAGCTCCCCCCAGGGCACCCTCAGCACCCCGCGCCTGCAGCCGGCATGAGGCTCCTGCACTCAGCGGGCACCCAGAGGGGGAGGGAGACGCCAGCCTCTTGTTGGCAGTGCCCTCGGCTTCAGGAGCATTCTCTGGGGCTGGGGCAGGAGCTGGGGGGGCACCCACTCACCAACAGCCCATCTCCCCGCACTCCCTCCTCTCGACCGCTCAGCTTTCTTACACAAACGGGGAGGGGGCAGTGGCGAGGAGCACAGGGGCCCCGGGGCTGGTTCCTGGCAGCAGGGCCAATCCTGCCCCAGGGAAGGTGTCTGGCCCCAGCCTTCTGGGAGCTCTTAGCATCTCTTTGTCCACAGCAGCGGGTCCCAGTAACCAATTCTGGGGCAGCTGGAAATGCCCCCTCCGTGGCTCCTTGGTTGTTTTTTGTAGGTTTCCCGTGTGGGCCACGTGACACGAGATCAGCACCGCTGGCGCCTAGAGAGAAGCCTGACACACTGTAGGTCCTCGGGAACCACCGTCCGAAAGGGTGACTCAGCAGGAAGCCTGCTGGCTACTGTGAGCTCACGTAGAGAAAGGACCAGAAGAGGAAGGGGCTGGACAGGGCCTGACGGGGTGATGCCATGTGCCCCCACCGATGCCTTTCACCCGTTAGCTGACTTCTCATGATGGCCTCAAGGGGCAGCCTAGCCATCACCCTTCGCAGATGGAAAGACCTCCACCTGCTCCAGGCCAGGCCGAGCTCGGGGGTGGGGGGCGCGAAGGGGCAGCGGCTGTGCACAGGGCTCTGGTGTCCGTGATCCTGCTCTGCGCCCCCTTAGCTCAGTTACTGGATTCTCGGACTCCGGTCCCTCGTTTGTAGAAGCGGATGGTAAGACTACGTTGTAAGGCTTGAGTCAGCCCATACAGGTCATGTGCTTAGTTCAGGTGGAGACACGGCAGGTCATTAACCACCCAGAGTAATTGTCATCATCATCACTGGCATCGGGACAGACCCAGGTCTGTCCACCCCAGAAGCTGACGTGCTGCATGAAGCCCCCCGCCCCCACGAAGCAGGAGGGGGGGATGCCTGACAGTGGGCGAGGGGGAAGCCCTCGGGGGCACCGGGGCTGAAAGAAGCCGAGGCCCCCAGCAATGGTGACTGGCGGGCCTTCCGTGCCAGACCATGGCGCACAGCCCTGATGTAAAAGGCACTGAGAAACCTCTGTGGTCTTTCATCAGGGGAGCGAAACGATGAAAGTGAGGTTTTAGGAAGATTAATCTGGCAGCAGCCACGGGATGGAAAAGAGTCAAGCTTAGCGCTAAGAATTACGGCTGTCGCCCGGCTCTGAGAGGCGGGTCATTAAAGGAAAGTGGCCTGGTTCTCGGCTCCCTGGGCACTCAGGGTTCCTGGCAGCTGGGAGGGGCTGGGCGCCGTACTCCGGAGGAGGCCCCGAGGGGGCCGGCAGAGGGCACCGTTTGGTCAGTGACCGTGGCCACCGCAGGGGACGGCAGAACAGGCAGCAAACCCGAATCCGTCAGGAGGAGGCAGAGCTGTGGGCTCCTCAGCTGTGGGGCCAGTTCCGAGCCGAGCATCCCACCGTGGGCCGTGCTGTCGGGGCAGGCCCTTCGGGGCCGGCAGGACCACCCACTCTGACAGGTGGCGGCCCCCGCAGGTGCCAGGCCACCAAGGCTCTGAGCGCCGCCCTGGAACTGGCAGCCAAGGGGCAAGACGGAACCAGGGCCGCCCCGGCCAAGAACGGAAGGAGTGGCGGCTCCTACATCTTCTCATTTTATTTAAAGCTGTCAGGATACATTGGAAGTCGTCTCCCCGAGGAGCCCGAGTCCCCGCCAGCTCCCCAGTGGCGCTGTGCCGTCGTGGGGCACTGCCCGCCCCCGGCCCTCACAGCAGCGCCTGGAAAACCTCCACCTTCTCCCGGTACAGGTGGTGAAACTGCTTGGCCAGGCAGTGGAAGGGGGCTTCGTAGTTTTCCATCTCCTTCTGTAGAGGCAAGGTGAAGCAGCCCGTGTTACTGCCTCATCAGGACTCACGCTCCCCTCACGTCGGGGGCCACACACGCTTGGCCTCCTCTGGCCCGCACACCAGCGCGGCTGGCTACTACCGCGCCCTCGGTACAAGAGGGAAACTGAGACACGCACAGGTTAAGTAACTGGCCCGTCAGTGGTGGAGCTGGGTCTGCACCTGGGTGTTTCTACAGAGCCTGGGCTCTCAGCCACGCTCGCCCCACGTGTGACGGGATGTTACGGTGAGACTCTTCTCGCTTGGTTTTCACTGGGGCCCTCGAAGGCCAATGCAAAATAACAGATGGCAAGGACGCCCCCCGCCCCACTCCGGGGGGAGGGCCAGATGGGACGGGCCCACCCTGACCTGGAGTCGGGCAGAGCCGTGGCACAGACCCCCGTCTGGGGAGGCTCTCGCTCACCTCGAACTCAGTGAGAGGCTCCAAGGGAAAGCCCGAGGCTCAGGGGCTCAGGCCAGGGCTGGAACCAGGCCTGGGGAACATCGAGGGTGGCCCGGGGCTGGCGGTGTTGACGACTGAGCCAGGAGAGCCAGCCTGGAGCTGCCCTAAAGGGACTCTGCAGGGGCGGGCTCCAGGAAGGGGGATGGGCCCCGGCCAGAACCGAGGGCCAGGAACCAAGGCTGCAGGACAGGTGAGGAGGACTGACCTATGAGCTGCAGGGGGAGGTTCTGCCAATGGGCCAGGGAGAGGGCATCACGGAAGCGCTCCCAGGGCGCCAGCCTGAGACTCCCGGCAAGTCCAGAGGGGCTGCGGCGGGTCCCAGCCCAGCTGCCTGAGCTCCCCACTGAGCTCCCTCTCCCGCAGGGGGCGGGCTGGGTGGGGAGGGGCAGGCGCAGGACCAAGGACCGCCGGCCTGGCCCCGCTTCCCACAGCAGGTGTGGGAGGGGGCACTGACTGGAAGTGGTGAGGAGTTTTCAGGCACCCAGCACGGTGCATCTTCATAACTGAGATGAGTGTTTTGTGACTAAAGGTGCCCAAAGGACTTCCTGTTCTCTGAGAGATTAGCCAAGTTCTGGAACTGGCCCTAGATGTTCTCTACGGGGTGGGACGAACCGGCCCCCCAGGGTGAGCATGGCCAAGCTCTAGGGGAAGGAAAATGGTAGCCTCTCAGCTCAGCTAGTGTTCTCTCACTCTCCGTTTTTTTTTTTTTTTTTTTTTTTACGAAGTAAGTTGGCAGAAGAAAGAACCCGCTACTTTGAGCACAGAGGCTCAAGCTACGCACGCACAAGAAGCCGTCTTCAGACGATCCTTGGGAGCTGGCAAAAGGGCAGCCTTGACAAGAGGCAATGATATGCCCCAACGAAAGGGAAGGATTTCCAAACTGCAGAATGTCCTGAAGTCATCGAGCTCGGTGCTCTCGCTCTGCAGGCGAGCAGCCTGCGGCCCAGGGGTGCAGTGGCTCAGCTGGGGTGCGCGGAGCCCAGCCTAGGATTTGAGTTCCCCAACTGGAGAAGAGCAGCCTTTCCACCCTGCCAGCCAGGGAGACAGAAACACACAATGGAAACCGGTTCTCATGGAGAACGTTACCTGGACTTTCTCACAAGGGAAATCCCAAGAGGAAACGGGACAAGTTAGCCAAGAGCAGAAACAGAGGTGGCGCTGCTGAGGAATGAGGGGACAGTTTGTAGTGAGACGAGCACCCGCACTAAGTGCACGACTGCCGAGGACCATCAGCTCCCCAGTCGGACAGAAGAGAACTAACTCGGTCACATCCGCAAGGCACGTTTGGTGGTACAGAACATAATGTCCCAGGCAACGCCAATGTCAATGGTAAAACGTTACACTGGGGGTGCCTGGGGGGCTCAGTCGGTTGGGCATCTCTTGATTTCCGCTCAGGTCATGATCTCAGTGTTGTGGGATCGAGCCCTGTGTCGGGCTCTGTGCTGGGCGTGGAGCCTGCTTAAGATTCTCTCTCTCCCTCTCCTTCTGCCCCTTCCCCTCCTCCCTCTCTAAAAAAGAATGTTACACCAGTTGAAAGCATAGTTAAGTGATGAGTAGACAGAGAATGAGGCCTGCAGAGGACACACACAAGGATTTCCAAATGAATTTGAAAGCTCCTGAAAGCAAGATCTGGGGAGAACACAACACGAAAAGTAAAGAATTCAGCGGAGATGAGCCTTTATATATGCCACGGAGCACTCCTGAAGTAGCAGATGTAAACCAGACCATTTTCTGAATGCATTACGAGAATTTGCCGATGACAGGAATCCTTTTGCTAAATGACTAATCACAATCTCACTGACACACTACAGAGTACGTTTGCTTTGTGTGAAAAGATCCTTAGAACAGGCTCCCAGACTAGCGCTCAATCTGGCCTAGAATTCTGCCCCTGAGAGTCCCAAAGTAGGTTCCGTGGGAGGCCAGAGCTCCCTCTAGAAGGTTCTCAAGCTTAGACCGGCTTTCTGTTCCTGGCTTGGCTGCTCACGGGCTGAGCGACCAGAGAGAGCCACACACCCTTTCTGAGTCTGCTCATCATCTGGACAGCGATAGCACTGGCCGTCTTGTAGGGCTGCTAGAAGCTTCGGCAGATAATGTCTGCAGACAGCCAGCACACAGTAGGCGCTCAAAAAAGGTCAGCTCCCTTCCCTCACCCGGCTGCCAGAGGAGTCCCCCCCACAGATCCTTCTTGAACTTGCTTGTGTTTAATACTGTCCCACAGTAATAAACTTTTTTTTAACATGCTTCAAAAATGTTTTTTAATTTTTTGGTCTGAACATGTCAAATATCAAGGGGTATTAGAAAGTCCAAGAAAGGGGGGGGGGGGCGCCTGGGTGGCTCAGTCAGTTAAATGTCTGACTCCTGATTTCGGCTCAGGTCATGATCTCAGGGATCGAGCCCCCACATTGGGCTCTGCGCTCAGTGTGGAGTCTGCTTGGGATGCTCTCTCTCCCTCTTCCATTGCTCCTCCCCCCACTCACGCTCTCTCTCTCTCTCTCAAATAAATAAATAAAATCTTTAAAAAAGTCCAAGAGGATCTACAAAAAATGCCAAATAGCCAAAGCAATCCTGAGAAAGAAGAACAAAGTTGGAAGCATCACACGTCCTGATTTCAAACTATATTATAAAGTCATAGTCATCAAAACAGAATGGTCCTGGTATAAAAACAGACACAAAAGCCAATGGAACAGAATCGAGATCCTAGAAATAAACCCCTGCCTACATGGGCAACTAGTATTTGACAACGGAGCCAAGAATACTCAATGGAGAAAAGCTAACCTCTTTAATAAATGATGTTGGGAAAACCGGATATTCATATGCACGAGAATGAAACTGGACCCCTATTTTATACCATTCATAAAAATTAACTCAGAATGGATTCAAGATTTGAACTTAAGACCTGAAACCATAAAACTCCTAGAAGAAAACATTGGGAAAAAGCTCTTGGACATGGAACTTGGCCATGATTTTATGGCTATAACACCAAAGCACAAGCAACAGAAGCAAAAATCAGTAAATGGGACTACATCAGACTAAAAGGCTTCTGCACAGCGAAAGAAACCATCAACAAAATGAAAAGGCAACCTATGGAATGGGAGAAAATATCTGCAAACCACACATCTGAGAAGGGGTTAATATCCAGAATATGTAAGGAACTTGGGTAACTCCACAGCAAAAACATCGATAATCCGATTTAAAAAATGGGCAGAGGAGCGAGTAGACATTTTTCCAAAAAGGATATTCAGGCGGCCACCAGGCCCATGAAAAGGTGCTTGACACCACTCATCAGCAGGGAAATGCAAATCAAAACCACAATGAACTATCACCTCACACCTGTTAGGATGTCTATTACCCCAAGGACAAGAGATAACAAATGTCGGTGAGGATGTGTGGAAAAAGGAACCTTTGTGCACTGCTGGTGGGAACGCAAGCCGGTGCAGCCGCTGTGGAAAACTGTATGGAGGTGCCTCACAATGTTAAAAATAGAGCTACGATATAATCTAGCAATTCCACATCTGGGTAAATAGCCAAAGGAAACGAAATCACTACCTTGAAGAGATACCCACACCCCTACATTCACTGCAGCATTATTCATAATAGCCAAGACATAGAAACAACCAAAGTGTCCGTCAACAGATGAATTAAAGACATTGTGGTTGGTATGCATATGGCCATGATGGAATAGTATTCAGCCACGAAAAGGGGGGCATCCTGCTATTTGTGACAATGTGGATGACGCCTGAGGGCGTTATGCTTGGTGAGACAAGGCAGACAGAGAAAGAAATATACCGCATCTTCTCACTTACACGTGGAATCTAAAAATGCCCTAATCCTAGAAACACAAAGCAGACTGGTGGTTGCCAGGGGTGGTGGGGGACACGGGTGAAGGTGCATCGAAGGGTGCCAAGTTCCAGTTTTAAGACGAGGGAGTTCTGGAGATGGAATGAAGAGCGAAGAGAGAAGGTCAGACGACCACATGGGCCCCTCCTGGTCCGCAGGACCGTGGCCGCCGCGAACTCAGGAGGGCGGAGCCGGGCACTGGGTGTCAAGGCTTGGCTGCGTCTCGGGCAGCGTTGGGTTATATTTCCTTTTTAATTACAGCTTTCTTAACCGAGCTGCCAGTGGTGCTTCTGTTAGCATCAACTTGGGGGACTAGTTAACTTACACAGTTAATACTGAGTGCTTAACTGCAGCCTCCTCCAGCGTAATTTACCAGCGTAGCAACAAACACCTACACAGAATTGAAGCGCGCAGCCGAGGGGCCTGTGATGACTAATGTGTTGGGGGTGGGAGTTAATTTTTGAGCTCTATCAAAAGTTCTGGGGACCATGGGATACTGGGGTGGGGAGGCAATTTCACAAATGTGAATGGAGGCAGAGGGAGTAGTAAAATATGGCTTGATGTGGGTAGCACAGCATATGCTTGGCTCAAAGGCGCGCCACGTTACGAGATGAGAAGCCGTCTGTCCCGTAACCGTGAACTTCGCTGTGAACTTCATTAGTTTAGCATTTGTGATCATCGGGTGGAGGCAAGAGGGACATCTATCTTTGTATAATCTATGAATACAAAACACTGAAGTAACAATAGTATAAAGAAAATTGCTGGGGGAATGGTCATCCGTCAAAAGCAAACATTTATTGTTTACTGTGTACCAGACTTTGTGCTGATGTTTTCCCATTTACCCTCTGACTGAATTCTCACATTTACCACTCGATGAGGAATATATTTTCTCATTCCCATTTTACAGGCGAGGCGGCTGAGGCACCAGCATGTTGATGAACACGCCGAGGGTCCCACAACTAGTTCTGCGCCTCACCCTCAGCCGCCAGAGTGTTGGCCTTTACCCGCTTTACTGTCTCAAGAAAACACGCCACTACGGGGGATTTAAAAAGTTCACATCCACACAGCAATCGAACAGCAACATTTGCCAAGTTTTGTAAATGCAACAACGGAAATGTCTGCAGCTTGAGTAGAAAACCACCTCCAGGCTATTTCTTAACTAGCCCACTGACTCTGTTGGAGGGTCAAAGAATCAGGCCCGGGGGCGGGGCGGGGCACAAGGCCAGGAGTGAGGTCCAAGCGACAACCATGGGTGTTTCAGGCTGGCAAGTCTCCCCAGCAACCCTGGGGAGGGGCACTGCAGCCAGGACGTTGGCCCCTGGGGCTGCAATGGATGCTTCTGGGTCGCTCCTGCAGGGGGCGGCTTGTCCCTTTACTCCCTTCTGGAAAGTCTGATCCGAGCGTGCAGATGGGGTCGCACGCCTGCAGCCGGCTGTGGGGAGGCTGGGACCTAAAAGGTCTCGCGCAGAGAAAGGGGGTCCCCCAGCGCCGCAGAGCCAGAATCGGGAGACAGCACACTCAGGGTGGCAATAGCAAATCCCACTGGCTGTCCCCTTTCCCAAGAGCTCCTGCTGACTCTAAGGAGGGTACTTTGTGGCCTGGCATCACCCTCGGGCTGTGGCAAGGTGGGACAGGGAGCCAGGGATCATACTCCTGGCTCGACTCTTCACTAGTCATGTGACCCTGGGCAAGTCCCTTCACCTTCTCAACACGGAGATGGGAATTATGGGACCAGCGCCCAGGGTCATGGTACTGACTGGGGGACCCGTGAGATACGCTCCAACAGCACTGTAACCCACCCTATCTCATGCGAATGCCAAGGGTCGCTAAAGTCGAACCCGATGCACTTGTATTTCTCATTAACTGAGATACAACTATGTCGGCGCTGGCCGGCTGATCTGCTTTACTGTAAGTACATGAGTGACTCTGCTATAGTGAGAAGCGTCTTGGACTAAGAATGTGCACGTCAGTTCCAAATGAGACTCTGCATATGGTGGGAGAACAACTTGATGCCCGTGAGGTCCTGTGAAAGACCACTTCCAGCAGAGGCCCACTCCAGACTTGGCTCCGGAGTGAGCAGAGCCACTTACCACGGACGTTTCAAAACATTCCAGGCCTTGGCCCAGGGCCCATGCCCGGGCCTGAGCTGAATCCACCGCTCGTCTGCTGGCCAGGTCTGCCTTGTTCCCCACTAGCACACCTACTCAAAAGAAACAACCAGAGCATCACATTTAACTGTGGCGGCTTGGGAGGATCGCTGGAGAGATGAAAGGGCAAGCACGCTAATTTTGAGGGGTATAAAACGTTGTCGGGGAGAAGCCGCCCGATTCGAGGTGCTGAGCACGGGGGGGCGGGGGGAGAGAGAGGGAGAGGCTCCAGGGCTGCCCCCCCTACCCCCACCCCAGCGGGCTTTGCTTTTCACATGCAGCTTTTGCTTGGCCCTTTTTCCAGATTTCACGCGGATCTGTCCGCCCTGTCTCCTTCAGGCTGCAAGGCGAGGGCCAAATTTATGTGAGCATTTGTGGTAATTCCTAGCACATGGAGCAAACGTTAAAAATGGTCATTAATACTAATCTAAGGACTGGGCTCAGAGTCAGGGACTCAGAGGTAATTTAGAGCCGTTCCCAGCTGCATCAGCTGCAGCTAATTTCTGAGCTCGTCTCTGGAGATCGCTTTCCCTGGTCTCTAATGAGGGGAATTTGTTGATCTCACATAGGGATGAAAAATAAACTGATTTAAAGCATTCAGAAGTGACAATAGGACTTGAATGTTTACTTGCGCCCCACATACAGGAGAAAATGAGGAATTCATCCCCGGGGCTAGCTTTCAGAAATAAAAACTCATTCATATCACAGCACCTTCCCCATATTATTCTTGAGTCTCCTCTCCACAACCCTGCAGCGGGGTGGGGGGGGGGCCGGGCGTCATCGTGCCCATTTTACAGACTCACAGAGGTGTGTGCGGTAACTCACTGAGGTTTCCGGGGCTGCTAAGAGGCAGAGTCACTGTACAATGCAGGCCACAATACTCTAAGCCGGGGACACCGCACCCTCTTTTCTACCCGTAGCCACCTCTGCAATGACCTTGAGCTCGTGAACTCGAGGGCAGAGGTGCTGGAAGTCCCACAGCCGACGGCAGCTCCTACCTGGGAGGGAGGTGCCTGGAATCTGTGACCGAGCCTTCTCCAGCCACTTGCTACAGTTGGTGAAGGACTGCTCGTTGGTCACGTCATAGACGAGACACAAGACGTTGGGACTCTCCCACTGTGCCAGGGGGACAGGACGAGCACATCAGTAACAGTGAAAGCGATTTCTAGGCTGGCCTTCTGAGGGAAGCGATGGGGGGGCGCGGTGGGATGAAAAACTATAATGGGGATGGGAGTCGGGAACCTGGGCCCACCCATAGGAGAAAGCAGTTCACCCACAGGCACCAACGGGAGGGCTGGGCTGAAGGCGAGGGCGGGGGCTCACCTCTGCACCAGGCTGCTGGTTGGGCAGCGTGCTGTGTGTGGCTGAGAAACCTCCCAAGTTTGCAGGGCTGGTCTCAATATCCCTACTGAGCTCGGAGAGGGAAACTGACTTGCCCAGATCAGACATGCTTTAAAAACGGGTAGGACTGAGGCTTTTTCTACCCAGAAATGCTTTTGCCTACCACTGGTTTCATTCATTCATTCTCTGTTGCATTCCTCTCGAGGGCCCACTCTTATGCCAGTTATTTCGTTTTTCTGCTTTGCAGGCCTAAAAAAGCATCCTTTCTTCCATTAGCCAGCCCCTGGAAGCTTGTTTGCTGGCATCTCCTTAATAAGGGCTGGCTTTTCAAAATGCAAAGAGCACTTTCTGCTTCTCCTGCAGTGTATCAGCCCTAATCCAAACCAGACTGACAACTGGACAGGGCTCGCTGTCCCAATTAAGAAGCAGGGCTCTGCTCTCAGAGGCTGTGGCCTTCAGGGGCTGCTCAGAGTCCTGGGACATCCTGCTACATGGCACAAGGCCACAGGACGGCCCTGCTCAGAGGCTGTGATGCTTGTCGGAGGCTCTTGCCATGCCCCAGTCTCTGGGGACCCCCAACCTGCACAATTACAGCCTGGTTTATTTCTGGTGTCAGTAACCTCCCAGGGTGTGGGGAGGAATCCTTTTCCCTCCAGTTGTCCTTGGAAGGCTGGTCTAGGATTGGCTCTGGAGGGCTCACTGTACCCCAAGGCTATGCTGCCACTTTGACCGAACTGATGAACACCCCCCCACACACACAGCTTCACTCTGCAGACTAACTCAAGAACTCTTGCTAGAACCACAATGACCTCTCCTTTGTGCATGCAGGGGACACCTCCTCCCTCTAGGCCTCAGTGAGGGCACCCAGGAGAGGCCTGGGATCAAGCTGGAGCCAGAGCAGGCACCCAGCGTCAGGGCTGGCTGGAAGCAGGGGCTGGGCTGATCGGTACTGCTCTGGCTTGCCCAGACACACCCTTCTGCCCAGTAGGGCCTTGCCCAGTGGGAGGCCATGCACACAGCGGGCACGTTGTAAGCATCACAGACGGATGCGTGAAGCCAAGCCCATGAGAAATGACCGTCATTACATCTATTTCTCTTAGACAACAAAAAAGGGGCAGAAAACAGTTTCTATTAAAATGTAGCCATTCTTGGAAAGGCAGGGGAGGGCTCTGGAGAGCTCAAACCTTCTAATTAGCTCACTGGCCCAGATTAGTGGAACTGTTACCTTGGAAGGTACATTGAGCTGGATCCTGTGAGGATGGCTGGGTGGGCCAGAGAAGCCCCTGGTGGCCGCACGCGCAGGTCCCAGAGCAAACCCCAGGCTGGGCCCAGGAGGTGGGAGGGGAAGGTGAGCCTTGCTATGGGGCCTCCAGGGTGCCCCCTAGAGGGGAAGGAAATGTTTGCTTCCATCCTAGGAGGTTGGGGAGTGCTGACTGTGCACCAACGGGAGGGAGCTGGTGAAAGAAGGGGGGCCCAGAGCGCTGCAGGGACTGAGTCACACAGCTCGGGCACATTTGGAACCTGGCCATTCCGGAGCTGGGGGGAGGGGAATCACGTGCACGAGCCAGTCCTCCTGGCCAAGGGGCCGTGAGTCTCAAGGCTGGGAGGACTGCCCCTGAAATAATTCAGCCATGGTAGCTTCTCTTGGCAGCCAGACTGCAGTGACATTTCTGGGAGAGCATGGAAGGGGGAAACTTTGTGGTGGAAGGTGGTGGTGGTGGTGGTTAGGAAAAAGATCGCACGCTACTTGCCAGTTTATCCAGCATTTCAGAAAACAGCTCCTTGCCGGCAGAGTCAAAAATGAAGAGTTCCTAGAACCAGAAAGGCATGTCCCGAGAAAGTCTACATGTAGGGAAATCGCTGGCCGTGAGTCCCCGAGGTGACACTCGGCTCCCCGCAGACCTTAGGGGTGAGATACGCCCATTACCACAGAGCCTCTCTCTCTTCCCCAAGGCTCGCGGAAGATGATGTGGGAAAGGAACGATCTCGAGAGCCAGAGACAGGCAGCGCAACGGTTTCCCACACCAACTAGCACTTTCTGTGTGGCAGCTCACCTCTCCTAACCCCGAGTGCAAAAATACCAGGAACAAGCTGACTTCCCACCTGGCCGAACAGGATGCTAAACAGGCTGACAAGTGCTCTGGTTTCCAAAAGGTCATTCTGCACTTTGCTAACCAAATTGATTTTCAAATCTTAAAACCATTCTTTTTAAAGCAGGTCACTGAGTAGGCCTGGAGAAGGCATTTAAAGTAGGACAGCCTGCCATCCTTCCCCGATGGTGGAGGGTGACCCTTCCTGCCCCTCGACCCAACCTCGGCCAGCCCACGCGAGGGCCCCTCCCCGATGTTGCTGCTCTGGGAAGTCTCCCCCTTCGGCTCCCCTGGGCACTGGATGCCCCCCGGCTGGCTTCTGACCCCGGCACCCGCAGTCTGAAGGTCAGTGCTGTAATCTGTGCTCATTTCTGCCTGCATCGGGGAGTACTTAAAAGTTGTGTTTTCTCATAGACCTCTTTAAGAAGGTGGTGATTCTTCAGCCTTCTCTCCAGGACAGTACTACAAACGTAATGCCTTGCAATTCAATTTCCAGAGTTATGGATTCCAAAAAAGGGACCCGGGTTAAGAACCCTGATACTATGCTAGTTCTGTGAGCGCAGGGCCCCTATCCCCGTCTTCCTACTCCCTCTTCTTCGGCCTGGGTCAGCGACGCTTCCCAAGTGCTCAGAAAAGCCTAGGCCAAGTCCTTGCACCGCTTCCCTCTTAGGGAGGATGACACTGACCACGGAGACTCCGGGCCCAGCTGGAGGAGCACTGAGCTCTCCGGGGTCAAGGGTACCACTTACCACACTGTCCCCCGTGTCAGAAACTGGCACCGTCTTCACCACCAAGTCCACCCCTGTCGTCTGCGGGGGAAAACCGAGAGTTTGCACGTCAGAGGGTCCCAAGAGATGTGTTGCAGGACACGATGAACACCCGATGCCCGGAAGGTACAAGCACTATGTTCTGGATTTGTTGGTGCAGAAGTCAGACAGGACCGACCAGCCTCGTCCAACTTCCTGCCCACCAGGAGCGGTACATGGGGACCAAGCCGACCACCAGCTGGTCTGTTCCACAGACAGCCTCGTGCCCTGTGGCTTGTGGAAAAATGCTCTTCACGTGGCCATGCTCTCTTAGGGCTTCTTAAGGAATTCTGGAAAGTCACTCCCCTAGGGTTAGGGGATGACCGCTGCTCTTTAAGCCTGGGCCAGCCCATGACTCCCACATCTCACCAGGGTGTAGTTCTTCTGGAAATGGGCCCCGTCGCTGCGGAAGATCTGCGCCAGGGCGGTCTTGCCCACTGCTGGATCTCCTGTGAGGTCAGAGAAGAAAATCATCATTGCCATCCTGCTCTGACTGGAGAATCTCGCACTCCACAACACTAGTTAGAAACCAGAAACTTCAATGACTTTTCAGAGAAAATGTACTTGATTCTCCTGGGGACTTGTGAGGTGGCTGGTGGGGCCACGGGTCCAGGAGAGCAATCTTCAAAGCCCAGTTGCGTTTCTTCAAGGGTAATCCTTTCATCCAAAAGAACTGACCCAGAAGGTAACAGAGCTTAAGGGGGGCTTTCGAGCACTAGAAACAGAACTAACATCTGCCACTGAACACACCCCATGGGGAAAAACTCTCACTTTCAAACTTGAATTTACTTTGAAGTCTTGAAGGTAAAGGGGTGTGACCCGGCTCAGTCTTACGGGGCTCACCTGCCTAACAACCAATTCGAGTTTAGAGCTTCCATACTTGGGTCCCTGCATGCTTCTTTTAGGACAGGGTGGGATGGAAGTTGGGAGGGCTTCTGTATTTACAGGAAGCAAGAGATCAGGTGCTAAATTCATCAACCTGAAATCCATTTCCAAGTGATACGTCTGCCCCCGCCTTCCCTATGCCTGAGACCACTGCGGATCCATCTTTCCAGGGGCCTCTCCACGTCTATCCGCAACGGCCACCGTTTCCTCCAGCTCACCTTATACCTACGGGGGTTTATCTCCCCGGCCTTCCTTCATGAGTCCACAGCCCCATAAATTGGTATCTCCAAACTAAAGGTTTATGGCATAGTTTCGGTCTGAGATCTGGACCTTTCGCAAGACTGTCGGGAGCGATTTAATCTGGAGGTCCTCCCTGCCCCCAAGGATGCTGAAGGCTCTCCATGCCCACCCCTAATCCCTCTGTGTGCACCACCCCTCCCCTTCCCCACAGATGGCTCTGCTCAGCTTCCTATGACTCCACGCTGTTCTCATTTGCAAGATCTTCTGGGCCATGGGTCTGACATGGACGCTCCTTCAACCTGTTTCCTGCTCTCTCACCCCCTGGCCCCTCAGCAAAACCGCCACTGCGCTCGCTGACTTGAATCCTTCGGTGTGATCACCTCACCTTCACTGCTTACGGTCGGCCCCCACGTGCCTCTTCATTTGACTTCTCCACAGCCTGCTGCTCTGTTCACTTTTCAGTTTTGACTTTTCCCACCTATAATTTTCTCTTGTGAGACAATTACTTGACTACTTGTGACATTTCATTTCCTGTGAACTCCTCCGGGACTGAGTGAGCTATTCAGTCATGCTTTTCTATTTACTGCCACGACTTAGAAGGGAATCACGCATGAGATTCCCTCCTTCCCAGCCCCTACCCCCTACCGTCACCATCATTAACCTCATTTGGCAGATGAAGAGTCCGAGGCTCAGAGAAAGCTGGGTAACTGGCCCAGACTTCCAACATCTCACTCTTCCCACCAGACCCCACTCCTCTCCTAGAGCTCGGGGACACACCTGACCCATCTCTAACACTGCCCCTCCAGGCCCCCATCACCGCAGCCTCGCCTGCCATCAGGGGCGACCGCGGGCTGGACTGTGGCCGGGTACCCATCCATCTCCAAACAAACAGAGCGTATCACTCTCCTTCTTGCGCTCTGACTGCATCCACCCTCCGGACTCCAATTTTGCTTCTGAATCCAGTTGGAAATTGTCTCTTCCTGCTCGTGAAATTCCCCACGGATTTATTTGTTCTAGTTAATTTCATAAATCTTTCTTCCGACTGTCAGTCAGAGTCACCCACACTTACGGAAAGCCTCGCGTGCCGGCTGAGGAGGGATCCAGCACAGGGAAGGGAAATGCTGATAAACACATTTGCAGAGCAACACGATGACAAAGTGCAAAGGCAAATAGCACAAGCTGAGAACCAAAGTGTCTGAGGGCGCATCGAGGAAAGAAACGAAGGCGCAGTTTCATCAGCGAGCAGACTCCCCCGGGGCGAGGCTGAGCCTGGGGTGATGGCAGGGAGGGGCACTGCTGGACAGAGACGGTGACATGGGCAAAGGCACGATGCAAGGTCACCTGTGACCTCCTAATTGCCAAGTCCGATGGCTTTTCTTAGTTCTCTCGCTCCTTGACATCTCTGAAGGATGAGTCAGCCCAAAGCAGCCCCCTCTTTCCCGAGCCCCCTGGCTCCGTGGCCCTGGTGTCCTGGCGCTGGTCTGGTTCTCCCACCTCTGAAATGTGGGCACTCCTGTGGGTCTCTCCTTGGCCCTCTGCTCCCAGTTGCTGTCCCGTTTACTCTCTGTCCCCTGTCACCTCTTGGGTCAGGATCTCTCTCCCATGCTTTGTCTGTATCTCCAACAATGTGTGGATGGTTCCACTAGAATGTTGGACCTTCACCCAATCTGTTTGTTGACAGCCAGGCTCATGTCGCACCCCCAGGTCCCAAGTGCTCTTGCTCACACATCTCACTGGTTCTGCTCCCGTCTCCATTTGCCCACACTTCCCAGCTGTACCCAGTCACCTCAGACCGCATGTCCCCACCCCTCCCACGCCCTGCGCTCTCCTCCCCACTCCTGATGTCCTTTGCTGAGTCTCAAGCCCGCATGGCCTTTGTTGTCACTGCTGATACTGCACGAGTTACCTCAGACCTCAACCTGGGCTCTGTGCCCTGCCTTGGGATGCGGGAGCAGGAACTCTGCAAACATGCATCTCCTTTGCCAGGGGCTTCCTGTCCGGCTCTGCCAGTGCGAGTTCTAGAAAAAGACTGGCAGCTGGGAGAGGGGGGATGGGCTTGCCCCTTTCCCACCTGCCTGCTGCGTCCCTTAGCAGCACCCTGGCAATGGCCTTCATCCCAGCAGGAGGTAGTAACTTCTCTCCAGTTTGTTTGTTTGTTTTGTATTCCCAGACCAGCCTTATTATTCCCTCTCAGAGATGCCAGCATCGTGGGGCAGTGCCCCCTTCTCAGAGATCTACATCTCCGCTCCCCAGGGCCCTCCTGAGCTTCTGATGTCCCTTCATCCTTCCAGGCCTCCAGTACCTGTTTGATGGACATCCTGCATGAATTCTCACCGGTGTAGTACCTAATGCAGGTTCTGCTTTTTTGCCTGCACCCTGACTTCTGTTGCATTGGTAGCAAGAGTGGTCTCAAAACCCAGACCCGCAGCATGGTCCGGAATGGATTTGGTCATGTCTTGCCTGAACACGGGGCCCAGCTCCCTGCCAGTGGGGAATGGGGCCTAGTGATCCATGGCATCACATGGTGGGCGACTGAATTCTTGAGGTCCCATCCCAGCAGAGCTGTGCCCCCTCCTCAGGAATCTGGATCCCAGTTCTGTGGGCTTCTTGCTCAAGCCTCTGATAACCCAACCTCTATCTACCACTTCCGTGTCATCTCAATGTTTTCTTCTTGCTTTTCCATTCTCCTCCATTTGGAGAAATGGAACCGTTTAACCAATTCCGTGGAATAAAATGCCTAATGTTATTTTCTGTTTTCTTGACCGGGTCTTGCCTGAAGGACTCCCCACCTGCCCCTCTCTGCTTTTCATTTTTCTCTTTGTTCTAACCTCCCTGTCGGCACCAATAGATGGACCTTTCCAAGATCGAGTTTGATCCTGTCACGCTCTCATGAAGAAGATGCCTTCTACTGCGTACCCCTCTCTACCGTCAACCCTGAATCCACCTCCAATTAGCTCTCTGACTATCCCTTACACCGAATCTGGACCCTACACTCCTACTCTCTTGCCCTTTGAGAATCCCTCAAAGGTAACTTCCTTCTAGGTCTCCCCGCCCAAGTCCAGATTCTCTGCCCGGCAAGGCTCCGTGTCCTTCCCCCACTGCCTCTGAAGGCCATCCCTCCCTCTTGCTTTTACCTGTGAGGCTCACTGCTGGTAGCATTAGACTTGATGTCGGAGCCACCTTCTGGCAAGGCACTATTATCATCCCCACTTCCATCACGGGGGAGTAAACTGTGGTACTTAGGGCACACCCCAGCTCTGCCACTTACTAGCTATGGGACCTTGGGTCAGCGATCTCCCTCGGGGCCTCAGTTACCACTTCTGCATAAAGGGAAGAATAGCACCTGTCTCGCAGAATTGTTAGGAGGATTTAATGAGCTAATATGTGCAGTACCTGATATTTTTGAAGTTATATTTAAGTGATTTTTAAGTAAATAAAACAGATAAATGCCAAGGGTGTAGTCCCTCCTCATCTCCTCGTCTGAGCCAAAACAATTAGCAGCCATGCCCTGAGGCATTTCTCTGGTATCTGGCACACAAAGGGCATTCTATTCGTGTTTGTTCCATTATAAATTATTCTCCCCAAATCTCAGCACTGCCACGAGTGTAGGGGCTGGCCTGGTTCATCCCTGCATTCCCGTTATACCTTGCACGGTGACTCACACAGAGCAGGTGCTCAGTTAATATCTGTTGAATGAATGAGCACTTGAACTGAATATCAGGCCCCTCAATGACCAGTTATAGGAGAGAAAAAGACAGATAAACTCAATTTAAACAGTAGGCCTGGGAAGAGAAAGGAAAAATAAACCCAGTGAGGGGAGTGTATGCGGTGGGGGCGGTGTGCAGAACGAGAATTTGGTGGGTGGTGGTGAGGGGGTGGGGACCTGATTCATTGTGCTGAGGTCTTTTTGGTTTCTGGAAACTACCAAGAGGAAATGCCCTCAAGGCCCTGAAAGGAGGCTGCAGTTGAGGACTAGACTGGAGTTCAAGAATCACTTACTCAGGCAGTGGCTGAAATCAGGTGAAACAGTGCCCGAGGGAGTGCGCATAAAGAGGGGCAAAGAGTCTAGACTTGAGGCTGGAGGACAGAAGAGCTGGGGGGCTAAAAACAAAGCCCTGGTAATCAGACCACCCGGGTCTGGATGCCAGCTCTGCTGCATCCAGCTGTGCGACCCAGGGCTAGTGTCTTAACCTCTCTGGGCCTCTGGTGCCCCAGCTGTAAATGAGGATGACAGCAATACCGATCCCACAGGGTTCTCGTGAGGATTCACTGAGATACCTGTGTTGAGGGTTCCTGTGCAGTGTTGGCAAACAGAAGGTGCTCAGTAAGTGAGTCCCATGATGGAAGCTGAATTAAGAGATGAGAGAAAGAGATAAGAGAAAGAATAAGAGAATAAGAGAAAGAACAGTTAGAGAGAGGAGCGCACATAAGAAAATGTACAACTTCAGAAAATAAAAAATGTTCTCACCTTATCTGCAAGGAAACTGAGGCTCAGAGAAGTGCTGTGTCCAAGATGACAGAGCCGATCAGAGGAACAGCTGAATTACTTTTGTTACATAATACTACCTCCCCTGGGCTCTGGAAACTGGAGACCTCTCCTGAGAACCACTGATCTTTTTTTTTTTTTTTTTTTTTTTGCTCCAGTATGATCTGAGTTACTATTGTCAGTCATCTTTCTGTGTGGGCCTTTTATTTTCAAATTAGAAAAGCCATTAAAAATAGCATCAATTTCAGTCTGGAAGAGAGGAAGCCCAAAAGGCATCTCTTTTTCCTCCATATAGTTTCTTACCATTTCTTTCCTGAGCTGGTCAGGGAACCCTGGAGAGAGGGCGGGGTTCAACGGTAACACAAGTGAAGAGTTTTGGAGTTGGGCAGGTCTGGGGGCTGAAATCCTGCCTGTGACTTTCCTTCGCTGCGGGGCGGGGGGGGGGGGGTGACCTTGGGCAAGAGACTTGACCTCTCAGTGCCTCAGTAAGAGCAGAACAATACAGCCCCTATTCCAGTGTGCTCTGGTGAGGGGACTGAATGAAGTGCCCATGCCTGACATGCACTAAGGACTCAATAAAGTACATCTATGTTCAGGGGCCCCAGGTCAAAACCCAGGCAAATATTTTCCTAAATGTGCAGACAAAGGGAACACCACAAATGTGAATGTCACATTGTCATGCATGCCACACATAGTTACTGAGTACCTCTTGGGTTCCAGATACTGTTCAGGATGCTTGAGATATAGAAGTCAACAAAACGAAGATTCCTGCCTTTGGGGGATTCAATATTCGTGTCCTCCTGAGAGGCGGCACAATAACTCTGGCTCTTAAAGACAACACACATGGGCCTGTTGCAAACTCTGGTCAATTGTACATTACTGTCTCCAATCCCTGTTATCAGAGAGGATGGGATCAGGAAAAAAAAATCCCACAAGTAAAGACTTCCAAAGTCAGTGATACCTGACTTTGGGATACAGCACATAGTTTAGATGAAACACTTATGGTGTGTTTAGCCTGACTTTTTTTTTTTTTTTAACGAGTCTATTCCTCCTGAACACAGCTCAAACACTGGTGAAGGTGGTCTCAGAGTATGGCAGGGATTGGGGAAGTCAGCTGGAGCTACAAATGTGCTCTGGAAGATAATTCTCCCACCCTAATGGAGTTTACTCTATCAGTAATTACATTAACTCGCTTTTGGAAGAGACAAAAAAGGGAAAGAGGGTAGGCAATTTAGGAGAACAAAAGCTCTCAATAACTTACGAAGTCTCTGGACTCCGGAGACTGTAAATTTCAAACTCACCTGCCAGGATGCATTTGGCCGCCAGCTTCACCATGGTAACCAACCACCTCCGCGGACGAGACAGGGGAAGAGCGGCTGCTAGAGGCGTTGGGGGGCTTGCCTGGGAAGGGAAGTGGGGAGAGGAGAGGCTCAAGGGGCCTGTGGCCGCGGTGGGGACAGGGACAATGGGGCCCGGACCTGCTGGGCTGGGCCGGGGGCGGCTATCGGGCGCTAGGACTGGGGCGGGGGCGCGGAGGAGCGCCAGATGGGGCTCGGCTCAAGACCTCAGAAGACGGCCTTGGAGGTGCGAGCGAGGCGACGCGGCTCCCGTTCCCAGCCCAGCCTCGGCAGTGGGGACCGAGAAGTGTGACCCTGCAAGCCTGCGGCCCCAACCCAAACACAGTGCCAGAGGCGCTCCCGCTCACCCACCGCCCGCCTGCCCCGCCTCCTCCTCCTCCCCGCTGACCCGCGATTGGCTGCCACCAAAAGCTCCCGCCCCGAAGGCTCTCGGAGGCCAGTGGGAGGAGGGGGCGGGGCTAACAGGCCTCCCTTGACGGACAGTTCTTAGTGGTATTTGTGTTTCAAGCTCATCGCGCTTGACGAGTGGTTATGTCAGACGTCAATCATTACTATTCCCGCCCCCGGGCCGCCGGAAAGTTTGCGGTACTGAAGCTCCAGTCTCCGTAGCCAGAAGCAGTGATAAGAGAAGCTTTCTGATTGGCCAGAAGTTGGCTTGGACCATCTGCGGGTGGAAGGGGGATTCGCCGCTCCCCCCCGCCCTTTCGGAAGTGAGTTCGCCCACGAGGGGCCGGTCGAGCGCGCGGGAGTTTGCAGCTGCGCCTGCGCAGTAACGAGGTCGCAGTTGCCGACGCGGAGCTGTGAGCAGGTTACGCTTCGCAGAGAGTCTTGTGGCTCAAGTTCGCGGGCACCCGGGAGCAAGGCCGCGTGGTGCATCAAGAAATCCGGTTCTTGCCCCGCATCCCGCAGGGAAGTCCGATTTTTTAAAGCGCAACGATATTATGCGCTGTAAGATCTAAAATAGGACCGTGTTTATAGTGATGTCTGTGAACAAGAGGGAGAGCAAGTAAACTTTGCCCCGGGCGAGGATTGCTCTCCGGAATGTGAAGTCCTCCTTTCCGCTGAGCCCACTTCCTCGCTTGTACAATGGAGAACGTGTGACCACCCCCCTCCCCCCCCCAACAAAAGCGGGCCTCGAGGACCTTGCCTGTCGCTCAGGAAGGCTGCGCCCCTCGCCGCACGCTTCCCAGGGAGGTCCCTCTTGCTGGGCGGTCAGAAAACCAGGCTGAAATCCGCACCGTCTTCCTGGCATGGCGCGTCGCCTCACCCTGAGCCTCTTCGCTCATCTTTGAAGATCGGCCAGCAGAACCCGCCTCTGGGGTTGTCCTGAGGAGTACAAGAGGGGAAAGATGTAGGGGCCCGGGGCACAGTAGGTGCTCAACAGTGATTGTCGAATGGATGAAAGAGAAGAAATTTATCTGGACAGATTTGGCTTAACACCATCACGGTGATGACATCATGGCCAGATGCACCCCCGAGGTCACTCCTGCTGACTCCCCCCCCCCCCCCAGGGTGGCTGGCGCTGAGAGGGAAGAGCAGGCCCTGGGCGAAGGTGCCTGTGCTTGGGGTTCCCATCACGAACCGCTCCTTCACCAAGCACTTCTCTCAGCTGCCCTGTGACTTCGTGTGGCTGCCAGCCGCGTGCAGGGCAGTGAACACATGCACACTCATCAAATTGCTAAGAACTTTTTAGTTCCGATTCTGGAGTGAAACAGTGCAAGTTGCCTGGAATTTTCTTTCCTTGGGAATCATTCCTGGTATTATGGTTGAGGCCTCTCTGCCTCTCCCTCGTTCTTTTTACCTGCTTTTCTTTTTTGAGGACATCATGCACAGCTGTCTCAGGCACCTCAGGCCTCGGTGAGTCAGAGTGCCTCTGCCTGGTCTTCCTGCTCCCCCTCCAGGCTGTCCTGACCATCGTCACCCTGCTAAACCCTTCGAGGACCCCTTGAGTGAGTCCCCCTCCTGAGGCAGCTGCATGGAGCTGAGACACTGAGCTACATGTGAGGGGAGCCTTCTAGAGCCCCCATTTCCTCCAAGGGGGTAATGGCACTTCCCTCATAGGCTGTTGTCCTCTGCACCACATCCACTCTCCCTCTCATTGTCACTCTGTGATTTGGGTCAGCATTTTGGATTTTTCCAGCGAGGTGCTAAACTGTGTATAATGAATTCTACCCCGCTTACTCCACAATCCCAAGAGCCTTCTATATATTCTTTTGTTTTTTAAGATTTTATTTATTTATTTGAGAGAGAGAAAGAGAGAGAGAGCACAAGAGCGGGGAGGGTCAGAGGGAGAAGCAGACTCCCTGCCGAGCAGGGAGCCCGATGCGGGACTCGATCCCGGGACTCCAGGATCATGACCTGAGCCGAAGGCAGTCGCTTAACCGACTGAGCCACCCAGGCGCCCCGAGCCTTCTATATATTCTTAATGACAAACGACAGCTGCCTGACTGTCCCTGGTTTTAAAGCGGTCAGAGAGTTTTGGAGCCATGAGGGCCCTTGAAATTCTAGTCTGACCCCTCCCTGAGCTGCTGCAGTGGCTAAAGCTGGCACATGTTGAGCACATGATGAATGCTGGCCTCATCGTGAGCGCCGTAAAGGCGTAATTAATTTAATTTTCATGTTCGTATGTGATGTTCATAATAACCCCTGCGAGGCTGGTATCATCCCTGTGTGATAGATGGGGAAACTGAGGCCCAAATGAGGAAAAGGCTAAAACCCAGAGTCACAAAGACAGTGAATGGCGGAACTAGGTTTTGAACAAAAGGAGATTGTCAAGCCCGTGGTGTCGACAGGAGCCTGTCCTTCCTCCACTGCCTCTCACATTTCCTTCCATCCTAGAGAATAAATTTATTGAGTTCCTTTGCAGTAATGGGTCATGTCAGTTGAGCCTCCTATGCCAGGCATGTGCAAAACACTTCACATCCTCTCTCGTTGGCTGCAACGACTCTGAGAAGTGGAAACTGTCATTACTTCAGTTCAACAGGCAAGAATCTGAGGTCCATGGGCAGCCCAAGGTCCTGCGACATACCAGCTGGAGTCAGAACGGACCTCAGGTCCTGTTCTTGGGACTGATGTCTTTTTCCATTTCCTGCTGCAATCTTCCCAGTTTCATTAATAAGCTTTCCTTGAGTGCCTGCCCTAGGCCAGGCCCTGGGCTGGTGGCCGGGGCTACGAAATGAGGGTGACAAGAATCCCAGGCATCTCTGTCAGACTGTGGTCCCGTGGGAGTGCTGGCCAGTGTTGCAGGCCTGTTTTCTAGAGGAGGCCGGAATCTGGATTTTGGGTGAAATCCCCTGACTCTCAAATGATCTGCGCCTGCTTGTGGTAAGTGTTGAGCGGGAAACGATTTGTTGCACGAGGAAATAATACTCTTTCTGTGGTTCCCGGACTAGCAATATCAGCCCCACCCCGCAACAGGGACTTGGAAATGCTCATTCCCAGGCCCCACCCAGGCCAACTGAACACGGGGTAGGAACCACAGTCTGTTTTCATAAGCCTTTTTGGTGATTTTGATGCATGCTATTGTTTGAGAACCTCTGCTCTTAGGTCATGGTAGGACCCACCTTTATCCATTTTCTCTGTTTTACTGTTTCTCAGACTCCCCAAGACCCTTCCTACCTCAGGGCCTTTGCACTTACTATTCTCAACGTGGCTGCATGACTCTTTCCCTCAAACCTTCAGATCTTTGTTCAAATGTCATCTCCTTGGAGAGGCCCTCCCAAGCACCCAATTTAAAGAATCACTCCCAATCTGTCGGTCTCAATCTCTTTGCCTTATTTTACTTTCTTCATAGCACTCCCCACTACCCGATATTATATCCTGTACTAGTTATTTGTATAGTATCTGTCTCCCTCCACTAGGAGGTAAGCTTCACGAGGACAGGGACTTGGTCTCTTTTGTTCTCCCAAGATCTTGAATGGTGCCCAGCCTGGTGAGAGACTTGGTAAATATTGTTGAATGAAGGAAGGAGTCTTCTAGAGTTTACCTTTCTGGTCATTCATTTATTCATTCTACAGGTACTGATTCTTGAGTACCAATTCTTGTGCAGGCAATAGGCTTGTTGGCCATGGCCATTCAGATGGGGACAGCCTGTGGCCTGGGTCCTCTGCTGCCTCCCACCCCCTCGTACACCAGCTCCAGATCTGTAGAACCTCCCAGAGCCTACAGACCCATAGGCTCTGTGGAATTGGAGGGGTCAAATAACACTGCTCCCCAAAGCCGGGGACTGGGCTGTTTGGGCTGATTTGGAAGCGAGGGCTTTGGGGGAGGCAGCTGCTGACAAGTTCCCAGGGACTGTTCCATCATCCCGGGGCTGGATGCTTCCTGACAGCCCTGACACACAGCGTGCGCCCAAACTGCGGCTTGCTGCCACAGACAGCCGCAATATTCCACACATGTGCCCGGGCCGATCGTGCCCCCTGTGGCCGAGTCCTTCCACCGTTGCTCCAGGGGGTTCTCCTCTGCTTGGGCTGCTCCTCAGAGCCCTCGTCGCTTGTAGAGTAGATTATGAGGAGGATTGTGGTGCAAAACAACCCCTTTGGATAAATAAGAGGCTTTAGGGGAAATTAGTGGGGAAAACCTCTTGAGAGTTACCCAGCATGAAGCTTCGAGAAGAATACGTTTCATGCAATAAAGCAGATTTGCTCTAATGCCCTCATGTTAGGGGGGCAAGGCAAAAGAGAGGACTGGTAGATTTGGGGGAATTTTATGTATTTTGATGAGGGCTTCTTTACCTTGGCACTATTGACATTTTGGAGGATAATTCACTGTTGTGGGGGGCTGTGCCGGGCATTAGAGGTGTGTTGTAGCATCTTTGGCCTTTACCCACTAGATGCCAGAATCATCCCCCTCGTTGTGACAACCCAAAATGCCTGCAGATATTGCCAAATGTCCCCGGGTGGCCAAAATCACCCATGGATGAGGACCACTGATGTGTGAACTCAATGAGTAAGGAGTATTGGTTTTAAAATGGAAATTTGCAAGGGCCGGGACTCAGACTTGTCCGGGTTCAGATCCTGCTTTGCTTCTTAAGTTCTGTTTTGTCATCCCTGCTCCTGTGGGGGCCGCACGGATCAGCCGGGTTAACACCCAGAAGGGGTCTAGAACAGCGCCTGACAAGGAGTAGGACTCACTAAACACCAGCCCTTACTAACAGCGATGGATCGGGATGCTGATGAATCCCCCTTAGGGTGATCTGTAATGCAGCCTTAGCGTCTGTTTGACAGTTTCCTACGATGCACTGTGTCTCATCTGCCTCCTGGTGTGCCGCCTTCTTATGGTAATGACCTTTGCTGTTCGTTTCTCTGCTGTTCACGTGGGCTTGGTTGTTTATGTCTCCACTGATG